GGCTCTAGGTGAGGTGATGGCTCTAGATGATTTGTAAAAGTTGATTTGTGTAATTGATGCGAACATAATTCTTATTGTGCTTGTTTAATTGATTGAAATGTAATGGTTTATTTGTTGATTTCAATCTGCATTATGTTGAAGGCAAAATGACTATCGCAATGCGAAATGAAAATCGCAATGCGAAATGAAAATCGCAACGAGAGAATCGCAATGCGAAATGAAAATCGCAATGCGGAAATGAAAATCGCAATGCGTTTATAATTTCGCATTGCGATTATCTCGTTGCGATTTTCATTTCGCATTGCGATTTTCATTTCGCATTGCGATTCTTTCGTTGCGATTTTCATTTCGCATTGCGATTTCATTTCGCATTGCGATTTTCATTTCGTATTGCGATTTTAATTTCGCATTGCGATTATGTCGGTTCGATTTTCATTTCGCATTGCGATTTTCATTTCGCATTGCGATTCTCTCGTTGCGATTTTCATTTCGCATTGCGATTTTCATTTCGCATTGCGATTCTCTCGTTGCGATTTTCATTTCCGCATTGCGATTTTCATGTTGGGATTTTCATTTCGCGTTGCGATTGTATTTTCCGTGTTGCGATAGTCAAATGCATGCCTAATAGTGATAACAACTGAATAACAAGAGTTGGTAAGTCAAAATGGTTGGCCTGAGTCATTAATTCAACTGAAAATGTTAAAAGTTCACACATAAAATCCACATAATACAACGTTTGCATATGAGCTTTTGATGGCAACGTTTACATAATACACATAAAATGTTAAATGTTAAAACGTTTACATAATACAACTGAATAACAACGTTTACATATACAAAGTTCACACCATATGAGCTTTGGATTTGATGAGGATCCATATTTTGGTAGAGGAAAAGATGATTTTGATGGCACTGGTGATCCACATGTCAACCTTGTATGACCACTTTCCTTGCACCGACTACATGTCGATCTCTTCTTCTCTTCACCCTTAGACGGTATACGATCGTGACTTTTTGGTCGGCCAGGTAGCCTTCTGTCCATGGCTGGTGGCAAAACTGTTTGTAAGTCATCTGGTATGTCCCACTCAGAAGGATGTGGAATAGGGTAGACAATCTCGGCATAAGTCTGTCGATAAACTTCTGTAGTGTAGCAATCCATAGCGTATGCGCTTGAATCATCTTGGTTTAAATGAAGAGCAACTTTTATAACATGGCCACACGGATAACCAGATGTTTGCCATTTCATACAACTACACGTCTTTGCATTTAGATCGACTAGCCCATTTAAGTTATTATCCAGTACTTGAAACAAAGTGTTTGAACATGGTTCAACTCTCCATGACGTTGACTTCACAACACGTTTCGTTATCTTTTTTTCAGTCCATGGTGTAACACGATGTTCCAATGTTCCTGTAAATTTAAATAAACAATACTTAGTAAAATATAAATATGATAAGTTACGAATTCAAAGAAATAATACCTGCATGGTTTCTTTTCTTGTAGTACCACTGTTGAATAGAGGCTCGAAAAAACTCCATTAACATAGTAATGGGTAATTTCCGGGAATGACGACTTAGAGCGTTGATTGATTCTGCACTATTAGACGTCATGAAACCATATCTTGCTCCAAGTTGATGTACTCTTGACCATCTTTCAAACCCGACATCTTCTAGTGTTTGAGCACACTGAGGCAAAACACGTCTTAAACAATTTATATGCTTATTGAAATCCACTTCCCGATAAGCTTTTACAGCCTTCCAGTATGTCCATTTGTGCTTTTTTATACCAGCAGACCTTGATTTTAGATTTCTATACAAATGAACACCACAAAGTCCATGAAAAGCATCTGGGAAACACCTTCTAACAGCGTTGTCAATTGAGTTTGCCCTATCGGATATGATTGTCAGATTGCTAATAGGACCTATGCAATCCCTAAGATGCCCCATAAACCATGTCCATGAATCAGAGGTTTCAGATTTGCCAACCCCGTAAGCTATTGGCAATATCCCATTGTTAGCATCCATGGCTACTGCTAATAAGTTTACTCCAAGGTATCGACCTTTCAAATGTGCTCCGTCAACTATAATAACTGGGCGCATGCAAGTAATAAACGAACGAATCTACAAAATAATATACACAAGAAATATAATCATTTAAATGTGAAATGCATGTAACTAACAAAAATGAGTCAACAAAATTATATTGATTTACTAACCGTAGCACCAATGGCGATAAACAGCAACTCAAAGCGTCCATCTCTATCTGTTTTGATATGAGTTACCGACCCAGGATTTTTCAGCTTTAAATTGTGACAATAAGCCGGCAGTTGGGCAAACGATGCTTCTGGCGACCCCCTCAACAATTCCAAGGCATAACATTTGGCTCTCCAAGCTTGAGAATATGATATACTAATCTTGAACCGAGCATTCATGTCAGTCATAATTTCATGTCCCCGATATACCCTGCCATTCAAAAACATTAACTCAGCCAGAAAACCACCAACACCTTTTTGTTTGCCTGTCTATGGTGAGGAAAAACTTGGGTTCTTGAACATGTATGTTTATCAATAAAAGTCCTAACTTGAAACATTTTGCAATCTTTTATTCTCTTTGCAATCATACGCCACGTACAGTTTTTGTCAATCATACACCTTGTTTCGAAACGATCTTTGCTTGATTTGTTAACTTTTAGTTGATAGCCATCTTCCACACATTTCGTATATAAAGCTATCTTCAAGTCTTCCTTTGTATCAAAACAATCATCTTTCTTGATACGAATAACTTTTGTGTAACAATCAACTGCTTTCTTTATCAACTCTTCTTCCGGTATCTGAAGTAATTCTGGCATATTCCAGTTATACGCCCGTGGCATTTTCTTTTCTTCGGGGACTTTTCTTCTTCTTTTTCTTCTTCAGGATTATATGAATTACAGAATGGATGTTCAACATGTTCATTCACAGTCGTAACTTCCTCCTCATTATCATCAACATTACATTCTTCGGCAACGGCTGTTTCATCATCAAAATTCGGGTATGACCAATATCAATATCATTACACGCATGGTCTGTTTCTTCTTCTGAAACATCATCAAAATCCGTGTATTGACCAATATCAAAGTCCGGATATTGACCAAGACCAAATTTCGAATACTGACTAGTACTCACAATTTTTTCTGTTGGCTCATCATCGTCTAACTGGTCAATACGAAAACCGGAATTTGGTGCTGAAAGTTGATTGGGATTTGGATTAGAGAAAGGTTGTGGGTTTTGAGAAAAACTTAGTTGATTACTACCCGCTACTGACCCAACAATACTACTTCTAGGTTCAACAACATACAATGTAACATCATCTTGTGAAACACTAATGTAAGCAATGAATCGTTCAACATCTTCATTGTCGGTTAACAAATAAACTTTACCATTTCTCTGATAAGATAGCCTAAATCCACTTAGGGGCTCTAAATTCAATTATTTGAAACACGTAGCATTAGAGTTTCATAAGTTAACTTTTGTAAAGACAATTTTAGTTGAAGATTTATGGGTAAAGGCATATATTGTAAAACACCATTAACATTATCCCATGACCCTCCAAAACACAAATCTATCCAAACATGATCAACATTAGATGATTTCATGGTTGTAACTAAACAAACGAGATGCGAAACTAAGACCTGTTGCCGGATGGGGAAGGATGTCGTTGGATATAGGAACGGATGTCGCCGGAGAGAGTGATAGATGGAGATGGAATGAGTTGCGATTTAGGGATTTAGTTTATGATTTCAGTGTTATATACCCAAAATTTCAGTGTTGTGATTTACAGATTCTCGTTGCGATTTACGGATTATCGTTGCGATTTACAGATTCTCGTTGCGATTTACGGATTATCGTTGCGATTTACGGATACGCGTTGCGATTTACGGATTATCGTTGCGATTTACGGATACGCGTTGCGATTTACGGATACGCATTGCGATTTACGGATACGCGTTGCGATTTACGGATACACGTTGCGGTTTACGGATACGCGTTGCGATTTACGGATACGCGTTGCGATATACGGATACGCATTGCGATTTACCCATACGCGTTGCGATTTACGGATACACGTTGCGATTTACGGATACGCGTTGCGATTTATGTGTTCGCGTTGCGATTTTCATATTCGCGTTGCGATTATGGAAAATCGCAATGCGAATTTGTACTATCGCATCGCGATTTTCAAGAATCGCGTTGCGATTCTGGAAACTGATTTGCGATTCTGGGGATCGCGTTGCGATTTTTATTTCGCGTTGCGATTTTGTTGGTCATTTTGGCAAATCCAAAAAAAGTTGGTTAAAATCGTATATTATAACTTTTTTTTGGTCACTGAGGCGATTTCTCTATAATATTTATCTGACCGTAGAAAAATTATTAAAGTACATATCATTTCACCTAGGGATGGATACAATATCCGAATCCGATGGGTTTCAGTCTGATTTGATCCTATCGGGTCGGATTTTTTTAAACAATCTTGGTTCATATCGAGTCGGGTCAAATTTTTTAGAGATTATATTCAGGTCGGGTCAGATTGAGTTTAGGGTGAAATTTACCTTATATATTTAGGTATAATTATAATAAGACTCTTCTATATATTATCTTTTCAATTAAATTCCTGTTTTTTATTAAAAAAATATTTTTATAAATATATTATTTTTGGTCGAGTTTAGGTTAGGGTCGGGTGTAGTGTGTAAAATTTTTGGGTCGGGTATTGACTAGAATCCGACCCATCCCATCCCTAATTTCTCCCTATCTTGAGAAGTAAATAGACTAAAAAAATCAAACAATACTAGAGAGAGACTAAACCCGTTAAAAGTATATAATATAAGGACTTTGTGTATAGTTTTACCAAAACCCAGGTTTTTCTCTCTTTCCGCGTACCTAAATTAAATAGTCCAGCATAATTGCATATACAATTATAAATAGCCAACGTTCACTCATCTTCACCAAGTAAACTCATCAAGGCTCTAAATTGTGAACAATTTTTCTCAGGATTAAACTAAAAAATCTTAGTATTTTAAAGCTTTCCCAGTGTATTCTCGTACCTAGTTTTCTTCAAAATCATGAAGCTGACGAAGAAAATGCCGAAGAACGGCGATGTTGCTCGGAGAGCATGGGGTCTGCTGCGTCTAGCTTTGTTATGGGCACGGAAAGGCGGAGTTTTCAAGCGGCGTCTGATGATGGAGCTCCGATTAGTGCCCAAGTTTCTAAAGGGCCTCGGTCATTCAACGTCGGTCCATACTCGCGGTGGTGACCGACAACTCCGTTACAAGGAACGCCAGTTCTCTTTCGACGAGACGCCCATTATCGACGTCAAGGCCGTGCACCGCTCCGCTTCGATGCGGTTCCTCCTCCCTTGCATTAGCGCCGAGGCCGTAGACTTTGACCGATTCGACGATCTGGGTATAGATGACTACGATGAAGGGGTTTACAGGTGTGATAGTCGAAGCACCAAGAGTTGTTCGACCGCTTCGACGAGCTCTGATATTGTTGAAGACGAAGAAGAAAAAGATGAAGATGAAGAGTGGGGATATGAAGGTTGCGATGAGAAAAGTCCGTTTCCCTACATATTTCCGGTGGAGGAAGAAGGGATCGATTCGAAGGCGGAGAGGTTTATAGCTAAGTTTTACGAGCAAATGAAGTTACAAAGTCGACAGATTTCTGATTTGGAAGATAATGAAATGCTTAGGAGAGGAGCAACTTATTAAATCCTTTTTGACTTCATAATGTTCTTCACTTCCTTTTTTGGCAAGAGATCCCACACACAGTGCTGAGGCTTTTGTTATTTTTGTAGATAACGAGGATCCGAGTGTTTATAATTTTATGATGAGGGTCTTACAATTCTCACGGTTTTGTTCCTGCATAAGTTTTTAAAATAAAAAAATATTTTAAATATTGTTGAATTTTAATATTAGTATCATTTTTTAAACATTTTAAAAATGAGCCAGCGTACCAGTTCTGTTCCCCCGTATCAATATCAAAGACAATCGAGCAGTTTCTGCTCAGTTCCGTCGACTCGTGTTTCATAACCTTTGCACGGGAATGCCAATGCTGTCATTTGTTCGCTGCCTCGCCAAAGAGGCTTGGACATAAAGGGACAGTTCCCATCCTCGCTGATATCTGCCTCTCTTCCGAGTTACGGAAGGCGGCACTGTTGCAGTCCATACAGATGAGAACACAGCCTCCGGGTCCATTGTTTGAATCGTCGTTTGATTCGGAGCAAGAGAGTGAGGTTAAGGTGTTAACGGCCATGTTTTAGTCGAAACGGGTGCAAGCGACTTGAAGTAAAGCTATAATTAACGTTTACAAAAGCCTCTATAAAGTATGCTTTTATAATCAGAAAATCTACAACAGGGGAAACAGTGCAAAGTAATGCCGAAGAAAATCAATGTTCTAATTATAGTTTAGAGGAGAAAATTTCCATCATAAGAAAGTTCTTTAATTAGACACAGGTGTGTTCAAGTCAAACCACAGCCTGGCGGTTTGCTGCTCAAAGATCCTCAGAGGCTTAAAATTTAAACACTAAGTTGATCCCGGCAGCACTAGGAGCAAAACCAGTGCTCGAAGAAGTCGATGAAACTTCACCATTCTGCTGCAGCACTGGACCAAGTGAAATACAGTGATCTAAGAAGATGCAAATGTTGATAGGATGTTCTTCTTGAGAGTGAATTCATCAGCTTTTGCTGGGCTTATCGACTGTATCAAGAACAAACAAGAAACTCGTGGTTCAGAAGCTCTTATCATAGTTCCAGCATGAGTTCACATCGGCTTAAAAAAATTGCGACCGTCAAACATCATAGATATGGAAAAGAAGATTCCGGACACCACTCGATGTACCTCCTGTTACAACAGTAAGTCTTACCTTGTAAAGAATTCGCTGCAGTCGCTCAATTTCCTTCTTGGGATAATCAGCACCTTTCTCTAAACAGCTTTTAGCAGCTTTCAAGTATATCTTTCCATACCTGCATCCAGCAAGATGAACAATTATAAGCATAGTAGTCCTTGGACGCAAATTTTAAAATGTAACCATAGAATTGACATGTACTCCTTCGGAGCTGAATATTGAAAAACTAAATGAATACCTCGTAGTTGAACCCGTGAGCTTCTCAACTTCCTCTTCAATTTTAGAGAAGACCGCTTTCTTCTCATCGGCACTAGCAGCCACAAACTCCTTCACTAATGCATCCAAACTTGACAAAATACCAGCCTGTGTAAAAAAAAATAGAGGAGAACAATTAATCCATTTAGAAAGAATTGACAATGACAAACATGTGTACCGGTACCAACACGTATGAGCCACCAACCTTTGAAGTTAGCTGCCCTTTTGCATCACGACCGGTGCCACATTTCTCATTGATGAAAGTAACGAAGTCATCTAAATCCCTGCCACCCTCGTAGTCTTCACCAGCTTTGTTGCCCTTTGGGAAGAATTTCAATGTTGGAAACCCACTAATTCCATACCTGCACAAAAAGCATAGTCCTCAAAACCCATTGATATGCTCCCTAACTGTTAACAAACACTGTATGAAATAAAACCAAGCTTATTGGATAAATCCATGCTTACTTTTCAGCTAGATCCCTGTATTTGTCAGCATCCAGATTAGCTATCACTACGCCTTCTTCCGATTTAAACGCTGTAGCTACCTTTTCATAGGTCTGTAGAGACAAAAACATAGGTTTAGAATGTATATCACCATGAAACAAAATACTCATGCCTACTTTATTAAACGAAGATAAAGATGCTTACAGGAGCAAGGTTTTTGCAATGGCCACACCTGGCAGAAAATCAACCCAGAACTTAGTCAAAACGAGTTAATAGAGAAGATGGAAGCAAAACCAAAAGGCCTGTAAACTTTGTTTTTATTCCGAAACAGTAATATTTCCAACCCAAGAAAAATAAGCACATGCTTACCAAGGTGCATAGAATTCAACCAACACATCTTTGGTTTCATCAAGGACAATCTCATCAAAATTATCAGCATTAAGCACTGCAACATTGGATGGCAAAGTGGCTAACTTCACATTAGTCCCTGTAATACAATATATCAGAGCTTAGCAAAATTGTAGAAAGTTTTGATATCTGAGCATCAATCTACATTCAGAAATTCGACAACACACAAGACAGAAGTATTGGCAGAATCTCCTAGATTAAGGAAACTTGTACAAAGGAAAAAGAAATATGCACCTCCTTCGGAATTCAGGTATTCAGCCAATGCCTCAGCATTGCGTGGTCCTTCATACCTGGATAAAACAATTTTGATCAACTAAGAGAAACTTAACATGAAACATGATCAAACTTTGTTTCTACATGTTAATTAATACTCACTTTTTAGGTTCCAAAGAGCCTTTAGGAAACCACTGAATAGTTGGGTAGCCTTGAACACCATATTTGCTGCATAGGCTCTTATGCTCATCACAATCCACCTAAAATCAAGAATAACTTCACCATAGTAAAATTTTTCACAATTAAAAAAGCCCTGATGATTAAATACATTAACAGCCGAAGGTGTGTGATTATAGATCGCTAACCTTTCCGATCAATATAGGCTTAGCCTTCTTAAAACTCGCCCCGAGCCTCTCGTACTCAGGAGCTAGCTTCTTACAGTGTCCACACCTGTGCTCGAAAAAGCAATATATGTTCACAATATAACTAGCTCTAAATTAATATTTTTTCCTAAGCCAATCAGAAATTAGATCACTGGAATGAAATTTCATCAAATTCTAAGCCAACAAAGAAAACACAGCCTAAGATCAAAATCTTTAGCTACAACAAAACGGTCTAGAGAGCATGAGCCTACGAAACAAATCCAAATATAATAGAGAAAATAATCGACGCTCTCATATGAACTGCTGAAGGTAGATCCAACGGTGATTAACGAGGATCTAGTCTAAAACATCTAAAACATGAAGTATAAACTCTAATCTAACAGAGAAATGGAAAAACGATAGGCGATGGAGAATTTATTTACCAGGGAGCATAGAACTCGACGAGAGCTCCTCTATCTTGACCAACTTCCTTGTCGAAGTTCTCCTCGGTTAATACGACGACGTCGTCGGCCAAAGCTGATGCTAATAACAAGGCCAGAGTTCCAAAGGCTAACCAGATCTGATACTTCATTTTTGCTAATGTTCGTGTTTTCTTCTGCTTCCTCTGGTTTCTTTGTTATTCTTCTCCCACGCTATTAGACTTTCATATTCGCAAATGACAGACAGCGGGTTGTTTTTCCTTGGGAAAAATTACGCGTTTAATACCTGAACTATCAGTTTTGGTCCATTTTAATATCTAAACTTTCAATTTTTTAAAACTATACCTAAAGTTTAGTTTTTATTTCATTTTAGTACTCCTCGTTAAAAACTTCAGTTTTTGTTTAATTTTAATACCCGTTCAAAATTTAAATTTAAGTTTTTAAAAATTAAAAGCTTAGATATTAAAACGGAAAAAACTGATAATTTAGTTATTAAATGTGTTAAATTTTTAATAGGTATACTAAAATAAAATAAAAATTAAACATTAATTATGATTTAAAAATATGAAAGTTTAGATATTAAAACAAACAAAAACTGATAGCTTAAGTATCAAATGTGTAGTTTACTCTTTTTAGGATTTTTAATAAAATACGGTTAATTTTTCCTAACATCCAAAGTACTGCCTAAATTTTTAAGTATTGTAATTAAATTTTTTAAATATTTATACAAATTAATTTTTTTGTTAGTTTATTTGTTAACTGGGATATTAATTATTAATCTGGATATGGTGTGAGTTAAATTATAACTATTTATATAAAGTAAGTTCATTAAATTTATTACTATTATTTTCATGTTAATTTAAATTATCTATATAGTAATTTAAGTATATAATTTAATCTAAATAATTTAAATATAATAATAGAAATATTTTATTAATATAATATGATTGCTTTTAGTATAATTAAAATCTATTGATATTTGCCTATTTGGGATCAATTTAAAAACCAAATCAAATGTTTTGGTGCAAATAATTTTGGAAAAACAGGGGAACACGTGTTCATATGGGCACTAAAATATCTAATGTAATGATGACGTGGCGCATTTTAGGTGAACTAAAAATCGTGAATGGTATATGCGTGGCATGATAGCTCCATGCCCATTGGTAAAGTGCAGGCTCGGTGATTTGTTCCTAATGACATGGCATGATGTGATTGGTTATACTGCCGTGTAAGACAGAGGCTTGGAGCCGGCTTAGTCTACTCTTTTGGATAAACTACATTATATAAACCTAACTTTCAATTTTTTCTAATTATAACACTAAGATTTAATTTTAACTTTTATCATGTTATTTGACAGTTAAATATTAACAGTATAATAATGTGGACAAATCTTTATATTATTATGATAATATAAATAAAATGACATCATTTTGATGATGACTATTAATATATAGACGATGTTATTTTAAACATTAAACTTTAATGATTTATCACTAAACTCTTAAATAATTTATTTTTTGTGTACTTTTTCTATGGTTGTCAGCAGCCAATAATTGCTCGTTACTAATCGTTTTTAGTGATTAGAGCGTTAGCAAAACGTTTGTAATTCACTGCTATTTTTTTCTTGAAAATGGTTTTTTCGTAAAATCCACAAAGTCGATAAAATTTTATTTAAAAGTTTGATATGCTAATACTCATATATCTTTCAATAACCATCCTATGATACTAGTTTTGGTGTATGGTGTTCATTTTCTCAAAATAATACTTATCAATGTCTGAATTTTCGAATGAACACTCTGAATCTCGTAAGTCTAAAAAAGTAATTGAGTGACCTCATTGGTAAAAATAGAATATTGTTCTTCTTAGAAGACTCGGGTTCAAGCAACCATGTTTAAGCAACTGTGTTTGGTATTTTCATTATTAATGATTTTTTTTAAAAAATATTGTATTATAATCACCCCAAACTATTTAAAAAATAGACAATCCCATAAAAATTGTAGATTTTTTATTTAATTTTATTACTTCTAGTGAGTTTGGTGAAAAATCAATTATTGGACAAGAAAGATGAGTGAAACACAAACATTGTAATATTTGATATTGTGGCGAAAGATGATTAGTGACAGATGCGAATTGATTATCTCCAACGGTTAGAAAAAACATAGTGCAAAAAATAAAACTATTAAAAAGTTTAGTGGTGAAATTGATAAAATCCTAAAATTTAATGCCTAAAACGATATCGTTTTAGGCTTAAATCACCACACAAAATGACGTCGCTGAGAACATATCATCATACTGTTTAAATTTTAATAATCCAAAGACGCAATTAAAATTCAAAATCAAATTTAAGGTTATAATTGGAAAAATCAAAAGTTTACCTAAAATTATGTGATATGTGGTACAAATTTACCCTTAACAAATTGGTTTAATACAAAAATAAGTGTCTAAACTATGTATCGAAAAACATTTTAATTCCTAAAGATTTTTTCATCAATAATAGGTGTCTAATGTTTCAAACGCTATTTTTTTAGGTGTCTGGGTATTAACTGCAGTTAAAAGTATCTGTTAAGTGACATGTGTCACGTTCTGTTTATGTTGAGAATTTATTTAAAAACTAAAAAACCCCAAAACAACAATTCATGCATTTTTCTCCCCTTCCATAGTCGTCGACCTACCAACTATGATCATACCCACGACGACTTTCGAATAAACCCCTTATTGGCATTTCATCATAATCTATTATAGTTTGTCGTGTAGAAACGTTTAAAGGTTCGTCGGATTTTAAGTCATCGTCGCCATTTTTCATCGATTCTGGACGATTTCGACGTTCATAAGGCGCACCATCGTAGTCATTCGAAGCATCATTCAATTTCGATCGAAACTCAATCATTCGACGATGATGACGATGGGCGGAGATGACCGATGATGATTGGTAATAGGGATGAAATGAAAAATTTTAAATCTTATATAATTTCAATAAAATTTTAGGGTTTTTATAAATAAACATTAGACACATATTTTTAACAAAACATTCTTTAGACACTCAAAGCGATTTTCAAGATAGATTGAACACTTATTTTTATGTTAAACCTAATAAATTTATATACATCTATATAACATTATTCAAATTTAAGTCATTTAAAAAAATACTATTACTTTTACTACTTAAACCACTTCTAGAGTTCAATTATTTATTTGAAATTACTTCTAAAAAATGTTTATAAGATAAAAATAATTTCAAACAACAAATAAAAAGTATTTTTGCACTACAGTTTCTAAAAGCATCATTAAACTTCACACGGCCTTCATACAAATAATAAGTCGGCTTCAAATTCTAAACAGATGGGATTAACACAGTCTATAAGAACTACACGTGTCACTCCACCACGTGGAGGCACCATGTTCAATCTTGAATTTTCCATCTCCCGCCAAAACCAAAAAGGAAAAGAAAATCAATCCAAAATAATGACTCTTCGTCGACAAGTTTTGTAAACCCCAAAAATCCCATATTTCCCCTTCGCTTTCACATTTCGTTTCAATACTCATTGGATTGGATCTTTGTTTTTCCAGGGTTTACTTGTTCCGGTTACCCTAATTTTGGCAATTATATCTAGAGGTTAGCTCTCGATCCAATGCTGGAATCCGATACTCCCTCGAAAACTTTCCTCGGCGTTCGGTTTTGTCTTTACGGCTTCGATCCAGTCAACGAGCGTGAGGTTTTTCGCTAATCTTTGTTTCATTGAAGTACTTATTTAAGTAACTGATCAAAAAATTGTGATGGAAAATTAAGTATGTTTGTTTATTTGTTAAATTTTTTGTGAAAGATTCGAGAAAAGCTCATCACCGGTGGCGGTGTTGGTGTGGGTCAGTATAGCCGGAATTGCACTCATTTGATTGTTGATAAGATTGTATACGTAAGCTTTTTAAAGCAATGATGCTTTTTTTTAATAAAAAAAGTAAAGAAAAAATGGTTGCTGAAGTTCTTGCTTTTACATGCTACTTAGGATGATCCTGTATGCGTTGCTGCTCTAAATGATGGCAAAACAGTTGTCACTGGATTATGGGTTGATCATAGTTCTGATGTCGGAATGCCTGTCGATGCTACTTCGGTTAGTTTATTTTATTTTATTTTTTTCAAAATTTGATTGTTTAATGTATATAAGATATTTTTTGAACTTTATACTCTGTTTATTATTTGGAATTTTCGTATTCATAATTCAGTTGGTGTAGCACATTAGCACTAATATGATGAAATAGAAGCCAACAGTTTGAGAAATCCATAAATAACTTGTTTTTGGATCCAGATTTGCCGTGCAATTTTTCTATAATAAAATTAGAATTTATTCTTATCATTTGTGAACTTGTGAATTTTGCAAATTTTCTTTTTTTGGAGACAGGTTATGTACAGACCTCTTAGGGACTTAAATGGAATTCCTGGTGCTGAAAGTTTAATTGTATGCTTGACTGGATACCAGAAGCAAGATCGGGATGACATTATGGTATGGTCTATATTTCACTATTATGGGCTGCTTTTGTTTTTGTAAATCAAATAGAAGTTTTATGCAGTTTTACTTATGTGTTTGCAGACAATGGTTAGCTTGATGGGTGCTCAATTTTCTAAACCTCTGGTTGCAAGCAAAATCACTCATCTAATATGTTATAAATTCGAAGGTGAAATTTTCTATGTTTTCTTTAACACGGGGCTGCTAAAATAAACTTCACAATGCTAGGACTATGAGGATTTTACTTTTCTTGTCAATATTTTTGGCATTGTATGTTAGGGTGATAAGTTCTTCTTCTTATTCTTCACATGTCAACTCTTAATAAACTCCCTCTTTTCTTTTTCCATTTTCCATTCATCTGCATTTCATGTTTATATTAATATAATTTATTTGCATATAATTATTTACTCATCTGTTTGTCAGTTTTGTTGGTTTTCTCTGATAGTTAAGATACGAAGATGCTATATGTTTGTTTTCTATTGCTAATATGGCTTTCCCTTGTGTTGACAGTTTTAATCATACCGAGTTTTAGTAGTAATTTTACAAAATAAATATTGTGGATTTATGCAGGAGAGAAGTATGAGCTTGCTAAGAAAATCAAGAAGATAAAGCTTATCAATCACCGCTGGTTGGAAGATTGGTACGTTTGCAGAAAACAGAAGTTTTTAATCCTGAAGTACAATAAATTTCAAACCTTTCAGTC